AATTCCAGGAAAATGACAAGGTGTGGCTGTGGAATCCAAGTTGTCGTAAGGGTGTTTCTCTCAAACTGCAGTCTCATTGGGAGGGTCCCTATACAGTCCTCAACAGACTGAACGACGTCGTGAAATGGATCCCTAAGTCCTCCAATTCCAAACAAAAGATCATTCATTATGACTGATTAGCCCCCTACTATGGCTATAGTACTTAGTGCTTCTCATTCTGAGAGGTACCCATGATTCTTGCGCATGAGTTTTCTTACCTAGCTTCTGTGTAAAGTTTGTGTGTAGTGTAAATGTTTGTTTCTTTAGTTATGTTATTTGTTTGGTCTATTGCCTTTTGTTTGTATCGAATTATGCTTCTGACCAAGGATTGCACTGCCTGGGATGTACAGTCCTTGGGAGGGGGCAGTGTCACGAAATGTACAAGTACGGTAAGATAGCTTCCCCACAAAGCAGGGTTGGCAGAAAATGGCAAGGGAAGGTAGGGTTGCCATGTTTAGTGAGTACACCGCGAGTTGTAGTGTGGAGAGTCTCGAGAGTACGTAGAGTTCCGAGAACAACCAAGCAGAGTCGAAAGCTGTATTCTGGTGCTTTGCTGTGAAGCTGTCTTCACCGTTATAGCCTGATTGCCTGAAAGCTGCATTACTGATTGTTACAGCGTGTCTATATTAGTTCTTAGACGACTGTAAATGTGATATCAACTACTGTAAACGCGATTTTGGAGCTGTCCTGAATAATAACAGCAAATAAAGTGTGTTTTGATACTTCATCAAATAGTGTCGTCGTTATTGACTCCAAATCTGCACAAACCCTGTACGTACGAACGTGAAATGAAGAAAAATAATGTAGCAATATTAAACAACTGAAATTAACACTTGATAAAGTTTATGCTTTTAGTAACTTTCCTAAATTAACATTAAAAACTAAATATTCACAAAATACTTAACAGAAATACAGTATAGCAAAATGAAAATAGGTTCAAAATTGATTTCATCTTCTTTCAAAAAATCAAGACAGCTAAATCTATCTTTAAATATCTTATTTAAATCATCCAGGAAGTATAGACATTTATTTTAAGTGGTATTATCACAATGAATATTTTTCTAGGAAGTAAGTTTATATTTTTGTATGTTTTGTATGCGACAAAATTCAAGCTAAGTTTAAAAACACATGAGCCTTGCTTTATACAATGAAAACATTTATTTTCAGTCATGTCTGTTTCAACATAATTTTGCAAAGCTGTCTTCCTTAAATGCTGCAATGGATGGAAAATGAATTTTCTGAGTAAAAATAACATAATCTGTAACTCTCATGCAAGCAGAAGCAAAGTGTTGTACACAAATTAATATTTGTTGTAAACACACATGTGGACCATATTAATGAAAAAAAAATTAAGGCCCTATCAGCAAACGAAACTGAATAAATTAAAGCAATTATATATATCCGAAAACTTCACTTTTATAATAGCATTCTAAGAATAAAATTAATCTGTAAGTAGGCTACATTATTATTATTAAACATAATCTAATATGTACCTATAAAATAATTTTGAGAATAAAAAATTTATCAGATAATTAGGATTAAATTACACATTTCCTCCAAAATTTACACTTATAATATTTAAGTTTTATAAATAATTAATTTTTATGTTAATTTTTTCTTCATGTAATCTCTCAATCCAGAGGTTTATGCAAATTTTATGTCAAACAGCATAGGTTAAAATGAGAAAATAATCTCATAACCAACACGAACAGAAGCTTGGCTCTACCACCACTGCTGCTTGCTTGGAGAGATACACTGATCAGGACAGACATGAATGCCTGACACTGGAAAGATTGGTATGTACTAAAAGTTAGTTACACTTTCTCTGTCTGATCCAGTTTGTGCAGATCAGTCTTTGTGCAGAGTTGCTAGAGTTATAATCCAATCAATATACAGTATTTAATATAAAGTTCCAATAAGCCAATGAAGCACCAAAGTTGGTAAATTGTTTTATTCTATGTATCATTAACTACGAGGAATAAAGGTTTACGATAATTTTTACATTTTTGTGTTCTTTCTTAACCCTCTGACTGCTCAATTTGTGGACCGAAATCGCTTCAAAAAAAAATTTTTTTTTTTTTTTTTTTTTTTTTTTTTTTTTTTTTTTTTCCAAATTTGAAATCTATATATATTGGAGAATTGAAATACATTTTTTCCTTCTAGAAAAGAAAAATACATTTTTTCTTTCTAGAAAATATTTTTTATATAGATTTTTAGCATGAGAAACTAAGTTGCCAGAAATACCAATTTTTAAATGTTATCACCAAAAAAAATTTTTTTTAAATAAATTTCAGTCGAATTACAGTTAATTTCTATTTATTGCATAATATAAAAGGTATAATTATAAAATTTAAGAAAATATAAAGCACTGAGGAAAAAATACATTAAAAATGCAGTTTAGTATGATAGAGTTCAAAACGGGGTTCAAGGCAAAGTCCAACTTCACAGTTTTTGCACGAGATTCAATAAATCTAATTAATAATCAATTTAATTATTAATCTAATCAAAAATATAATTAATAATTCAATAATTTAATTAAATAATTAATATAATCGCTGAATGTTTTCGAGCAGCCATTTCTGTAAGAAAAAAGCGGCAAAATGTCGTGTTTGAGCGGTAATACCACGTGCCTTCAAACGCCCCAATTTAGCGGATAACTAACGATATTTGTTGTCCAAAACGTGAACTAAACGTCTAATACTGTATATAATTTATTTCTGTGGTCAAATGGGGAAAAAACGGGATGCGCTCATCAATAAAGGAAGAAAAACATATGCCCACGGAAATTGCGGGATGAGCAGATTTTGCTACATTTGAGTTGCCCGTGGAAATCGTGGGATAAGCAGCCAGAGGGTTAATCTGTCCACAGTAAGGATTAAAGAAAGACAATAACTAATCTTATCACATAGAAATAACTTCTAAAGTTTAGCAATTAGTTACAAGTAATTATATACATAGTTAGATACACTAAGTCATTATAGATTTACATGGTCACAATTTATTTTTTAATTTTAAAAAAAAATGTAAAAAAGCACTATTCAAACCATAATATAAGAACATATTACAGTTAAAAATACAGAATTATTCATGTAATTTATCATATTGATTTTAAAACAATATTACGATAATTACACGCACAAAAAAAGCTACAAAACATGCATGTTTCATAGCAACAACACACAACAAAATATGCATCTTTTTTAAACTGATTCAATGATCTGAACGATTTTCAAGAAGCTGATTTACATCAATTTTTTTTCTCTTTCAATAAACAAACCAATGTTCCCACCAGTGTCTGTTTCATTCCCTAATTTTAACAATATACCTTTAAATAACTTTTTTTTTTTTCTGTAATCGAAATCTTTTTCAAGTCTGCTCTACATTTTAGAGCTTCAGATTTAACTAAAGATTTATGTTATTCTACAGAACTGCATGTATTTAGAATGTACAGAAGATGCTGATTTTATTATAATAATATGAGTATTGAGAATAAATATGAAAAGACACAGGATCAGATCTTTTAAATTGTAAATTTTTAATTTCTTTATTAACAGAAAAATTCCTTTCTGCAGATGCCTCCCCATGTCACAAAACTAGAGCTATTTTTGCAATTTTCCATGCTTGTGTCTAAAGAAAAGATGAGAAGAAAAAGGAGATAAAAATGTTAAGAGAAAGACTTTAGTCTGTTAGTCACTGTTAAAATTTTTCCATAAAATAAAATAAAAAAAATCATCACAAATTTCCTATAACACTTATTCATTACATGTTTTTACCATGAAAGCATCTTTCATTTGGTCACATTTTTCTGGAATAATAGGTGTATAAATCTAGCTTTCAAATACTTCTAAACTTTCATAGCTGCAAGGTCTAAAAATTATTTCTGGCAACTCTGTAAAAGCAGAGAGCCAGAAGATTTTTTGAATAAAAAATTCAGAAAAGTGAATTTTTAAAGAAAACTGAATTACACAATTGAATAGGATACACATTTCAAAGATACACCTCTTAATATTCTGAAACAACTATATGGGGGGAAGCTCTAATAAAGAAATATAAAAGAAGAAAAATGAAATTAATTTTAAAGCAACTAAAGTAGCTTTTTCATTTTTATTTAAAAGTGCTTTGAAAACTGTGTTTTGTATCATTTATAATCCTGTTTATTTCTCAGCAACAAAATATTCCTGATACCAAAACATCAAAACAGAAAGTTTAAACAGAAACCTAAGTCACCAAAACAGAAAGTGATGTCATTTTAAAATATGACATGGGAAAATAAAAAAGTTTTATTTCTGTTATAATTTTAATACATTATCATTATTTTAATGATATTTATCGATTTTATTATGTTTGTAAAAAGAAAAGACATTGAGAAATTTGCAAATATTTGCATAAAAAATCATGTATACGAATTGATCTTGAAATTACCGAAATGTTGATAAAACACCAAATTTAATACCACATAGTATAAAAGAAATCGTATCTCAAAAAGGGACAGAATGTTTCTGATTAACATTTTATGAACTCTTCATTCTCAAAAAACAAATAGTTTGGAAATGTTAGTATTTCAACTAAGGCAAGGCCTTGTGCCCAATTAAGAAGTTGGGAAGAATTCAAATAACTCATCAAATATATATTTGTCAATGACCCAAAATATATTCCTCCAAAATGTTAAATTCACACTCAGAATGGCAGTGAAAAACAGACAGAAACATCAAATGAGTTAAATAACAGACCTTTTCTGATTTGGACCAAAATTAAGGACTTCATTCCAAAGACCAAAAAGCATTTCCAAGAAAAGCCAAGGACTTTTATGTACTTTTAAGGACCATACATGAAAAGGTCATGAATAGAAAACTTAATAAAATACTAAAATTACTCATTACATTTATTAAATTTTTGAATTACAAACATGTAAAACAATTCACAAAAAATTTTAAATCATACGTAAAAAGTTCAACACTTACACTGTAATTTATCTGATGCACTAGGTGGAATAACAATGACTGGACGTTCAGGAGTTGGTGGGGGCCAAGGAATTTCTAGTGATGGCTTACGGACTAGTTGGCTGATATTTGGACGTGTTATAGGAGTATCACGTTTTGAGTAACCCATTCCAATTAAACGATTAGAAGCTTCTTGAGCATTATTGTCACAACTATAGCATAAGGTATTTAGAATTAAAAAATATGTATTTTATGTACAAAATAATGAATTAATTTAAAATCTTGTACTGATTACTGTTCAAGCAAAAAATTGATAAAATTAATAAAAATGACATAAAAATAATTATACATGAAAATTTACACACTGATATAAACTAAAGAAGTTAGGCGAAACTAACAGAAAATTAGATTGAAATAAATTAATTTAAACATTTAATTGTTATATTTTTATTATGGAACGACATATCTAGCTCCCGTTTTGACCAAAAGAATTAAGGATAAAGAGTTTAATATTTAGCTAAATTTTTACATAAAAATTAGTCAAACAAGTAATTTTTATTTTTCAGTTATATCAACATTTTTTTTTTTTTTTTTTTTTTTTTTTAAGGTGTGTGTATGCATGCAGAATTTTCTACTTTTCCAAAAATAATGTTTTGCTTTAAACACACATTCATATAAAAATAGAGAGAGAGAGAGAGACAAACTAAAATAATAAAAAACTAAGTTCAGGAAAAAAGGCTGATCAAGGAATCTACCAAAAATGAAAAAACAGTGGTTTTGAATGAACATACAAGCAAAAAATTCAGATACTTATAATTATCAAATACTGTTGTGTGTGTGTGTGTGCTCATAACGGAATGAATACACGCAGAACCGATAAACAGCTTGATAAAACTAAGAGCTGAACTAAGAACTGATGCTCTCTCAGGCCTTACATAGTTTTCTACCTCCCGCCGAGAAATTTCCATAACCTATCATTTGTTGAAATTACTGGAAGGCATATACAGCTACAGTTACATAGGCAATTAGGCTAATTACAGTACCAGTACCTTCCATTTCTTGAAGTTACTAGAAGGCATATACAGTTACAGTTATAAAGATGAACAGTTGCAGTTACATAGGCATTTAGGCCAATTACATATTCAGGCTAATTGGCTAATTACAGTACCAGTACCTTCCATTTCTTGAAGTTACTAGAAGGCATATACAGTTACAGTTATAAAGATGAACAGTTGCAGTTACATAGGCATTTAGGCCAATTACATACAGGTACCAAACTAAATGGTCACCAAGCCTGATGACATTTCATTATTTCTCACCAAATTTGATGACAAAATTAGTCACTAAAATCATCAGCAGCTTGACGCTATCTTGCCAATTGCATGAGATTACCATTTACCTCAATGTTAAATAGACATGCCTCTGTAATCTTATTTTTCTGGCAAGCTTTGCATTTCTTGAGGCCATTCATGTTTCATCATACTATATTCTGCTACAAGATTTAAAAGGAATCAAAAGAGGCCAATACTGATGTAATCATAGGATAAATTGTGAATAACAAGGTAACATATAAACAGTGAAATCAAGATAAAGTTTTCAGTAAGATAGCTTACAACATTTTTGTAAATGACAATAAAATTAAAAAGAATTATTTCTGTTAACATCAAAGTAAAAGAAGTGTATTTCATAACTTGAATTATTGTATTTCAAACATTATCAAAAAATTTTGATTTATTTATTTGAAAATTTAATTTATTTCTTCATAAAAATCTTGGTTCTAACAGTTTACTCTTCCTTACACCATTTATTTTAACTCTGTTTTTCTAACAATACTAATCGTAAATGATTTCATTAAAGAACAGCCTCTATTTATATTAATTTTAGAACAGTTTGTTCATTTGCTTTCTCCCTTTGTTAATAAATTATTTAATCAACAAGGAAGAATTTTATAGCATTTAACACTAAAGTAATGTTTTAGATAAAACTTTTATTCATTTTGCTTAAAATTTTAAACATTTATTCATTACTTCATTTTTTTCCCCAGCATTGTTTCTAATGACAAAACTGGCCTACAAGTTTTTCAATATGGTTTATAAAGAGTAACATTCCCTTCATTTTGCAATTTTTTAATTTAGTTTATATTCTCTTCCTTTCCCAATTTTTTTTCTAGTTACAGTTTTAATATTCATTACTAAAACTTTAATTTTATTATACACATATGTATATTGCTAAATAATGAAGACAGCTAAGTAATAAACATCAACTATACATTATTAGTTAATTTACTTATTTAATTGATTGAGCCACAGTTTACAAGAATTATTTATCTAAGCAAAGGGATAACTTCATCATTGACCTCCTTAATAAAAACAAGCTTGGATTCATATTACACATACAAAAACCAGGAAAAATGACTACATAGATAACCTATTCACTGGAATCCAAACCCAATAAAGTTACATAAATCAATTTAAAAAAATTCTGAATTTGGATTTTTATGGTGGATTTATTTATAAAATTTTAATAAAGATAAGCTTTTCTGCCATTTTGATCAATTTATGAAGCTATTTCATTTTCAAGTACTATGATAACTCTCACGCCTAAAAGATACTCAGCTTTTCCTCTGTACTTATTTATTTTTTGTTTATATGTAGGTAATATTACATTTTGGATTTTGCATTTCATAGTATGAACATATAACAATCACACTAAGTTAGCACAAAAGGTGGAATTACACTAAGTTAGTGCAAGAGATGTGTAATGAAGTCAGTTTTTACAACACTAAATGATGGTTAGATGAAGGCAGTCGTTAAAAGAAATCTGAAAGTTAGAAAATTATTATATGATCATTAATTTTTCTCACTACAGTGTATTATAATCAGTTTATTTTGGTAGATATGAATGATGGTTGCTTAATAGGATAGAATGAAAGTCTGGCATCTCTTCAGATAATATCAACACTTTTTTCAGATATTTCCCATGTAAAAAAAAAGGTGCTAGATGATCAAGATAATTTATACTGCAGTTAAAAATGCTAGATTTAACTAATTATCTAATCAAGATAATGTTAGTTTCAAAGAGTAGAATGGAAAAAGAAAGAAATGTTTAACACTTTACTGAAATTTGAATTCTTTGTCTTTAATTTAACAATTAAAGCTGCCTACTTACATATTGAACATTAGAACTAGTCACTATTTGCTGTGGTGGAATACTGAGATGAAACAGCATTCTCTTATTCAGATTTACTTATATTTTCTGCCATTCGTTTCTTTGTGAGTACTCAGAACATTCATCAAAACTGTTCATTAGCATTTAAATAACGTAATTTATGTTAGCACACAATGAGGGAAAAAAATTACAAAATTTTAATAGATTTTAGAGGGAGTTTTTGTTAGAATACATGGAAAGAATAGAAAAATATATAAAACAGATAAAGAAATGTCAATATTTTCAAATAAATAACATACTTATTGAGTACATCAAACAAAACAGCTTCATCACATTCAGGGAACACAAGTTTTAAATAACGAAGTTTCATTTTTGGAGAACTAGGATGAGGACTCTGGTGACGACTGTTATACCCTCGATTACCTGCTACTAATGCTCCTATAACTTCATGCTCTTGATTGTTATATCTACAAAAAATAAAATCTATGGTTACAAAATCAAAAAACTAACAGACAAATCTGAGTTTGTTACAAAACATACACTGAATAAAAATTATTTTAAACTTAGAATCACATAATACCTCCAAAATACAATGGAAGACCTTTTATGTTTAATAAAACCCCAGATAATATTTGAAACTAATAGCAATATATTTATCTAATATACATAAATACTGTAAATTCTAATTGATTTATTACATTCACATATCACTAGTGTAAAATAAAATAATAATCGAGTGCATATGTGATGCATTATACACTGACAGCACACTTTCTCAAAAATATACTTTAAAACACCCTCATTTTTAGCCTAATCCTTAAAAAATACAGACAACAGAGTAATTAAAAAAACTGCAGTACTTTATAATACAGTGCATTCAAAAAGTAACTATACACTTAGATCAACTTAATTAGATGTTAAAGCAATTTGTGCTCTAAACAAAACAATTAATGTTTTTTGCAAAGGTTGGTAATTTTGCACTACATGCAGTTTGCTTCACAAGTTAGTCAGGTTGGTGATCTTCAGGTGATGTCTGTTTTTTTGCATATGTATTCATCATGTTTGAATGACTGTGACAGTCTTTGCATAAAACTTCAGAATGGTATTAACTTTAAATTAATAAATATTTCTTAATATACCTTCCATGAACATGGTGATTATACACAGACACTGATAGACTAGATTCCCAGACACACTATTCTTTAATCTACACAGTATACAAGCCATAAAACCAATTTGAGAGAGATTTGTAGAAGAAGAAATGCTTAGAGATATATCCAAATGTTCTTTGGAACCACTTCCACGTACTCTGAGGGTAAGTTGATGTTTCATATAATTGTACTCAGGCATAATAGATGTATTTTTGAATGTACCTTTTGAATGCACTATGTTATATACAGGTTTCATGGATGACAGAACAATAAAAATTATGCTTTCAATCAAAGAACTGCATAAGCAATGAAACATTAATTATGCAGTTACCCTTTGTATTTCACTATCAATGTTTTTGTATTATATATATAACAGAACAAAAAGGATGAAAAAAAAAATATTTTCTTACAATCTTTGTAAGCTGCGAATATGCTCTGGATCAGCAGCTGGAAAGAAGTTCCGAAGCTTATGATATAGCGCTTCATCAACTTGGAAAGACTGAAATTCAGGCTAGGAAGGAGAAAAAATGTTAACACATACTTTGTACATAAAATTAAAATATCAAAAGCAAATGAAAATAAATATGAACAATGAATTTTCACTGCACTAAAAGTTGTCTAATCATTTTTTTAAACTTATAGATCAAAATGCTTGATCTGTCTTTATTTAAATCAAGCAGTTTAACATCTGTTTAATTATTAATAAACAGACTGATTTAACAGATTAATGATCAAGCAGTTTGATTTTAACAGATCTATTTTTGAATCTGTTACAAAGCAGTTGTCTGTCGCAGTTTTTGTGACAAAATACAGTGTGCTCAATCATAGGCAATCAAAATGTTTAAAATACAAAAAATTGGAAGTAACTTAAAAAAATATTGCAAAATAATAAAATTATTTGTAATAAACATATCAGCAATACAGGCATTCTCTAGATCAGGCGTACCCAACCCATAGCCCATTTGAAGACTTTTTGCGGCCCAATTGAAGTTTCTAACTGTCTGTATTATTTTAGACATTTGGACTATAAATGGTTGAATTAAAAAAAAAAAAAAAAAAAAAAAAAAAAAACCTTTTTTTAGGCCCCCCACCTCTATTTGTGCAAGTTTTTCCGAAATGATTCTTTTTTCCTTCATTTGACTTCCAAGCAATAAGAAAATAAACATTTGGCCATTGGTCAGGGGAAAAAAATTTTCTTTGTCAAATAGTGTAATAATTACACTGCTGTTCTCCTTTGCTTAATTGCCTTTTGTATTTGAAATAAAAATTTTGAAAACCTAAATCTAAATCAATTTTATGCAGATATTCTGTAACACAAGTATAAAATGTTATGATGTTATGCAGATAGTTGTTATACTACATATCGTCAGACGGCAGCACAAATCAACTGCAAATCAGAACTTTATAGGATAGGAGATATTCTTCTGCAAACAAGTGCAATCTGGTCGACTTTGCACTTTTTTGTGATTGTAATCCAGGTAAAAGGTAAACTGTTTTTACCTTTTACCTGGATTACCAGGATTTTACCTGGATCATATAAGTAATTATCGTATTTATTTTTATTAGATATTTATTCGTCATGGCTGAAAGAAAAATTGAAAAGAAGAAAAGAAAACTTGAAGATGACAATAGACAGTTTCAGAATGAATGGGAAAATTTGTACTTTTTTATTCATGTAAAAGACAATGCTGTATGTTTGATTTGTCATCATTCAATTTCAACTTTAAAATCATACACACTAAAAAGACACTATGAACAAAAACATGGAGATTTTGATAAACTTACTGTTGCCAAATAGAAAGCTCACTTATATTATGACCACTTATCTTATCAATGAAACTGAATGAGAACAAAAACATAGAGATTTTGATAAACTTACTGTTGCTGAATGGAAAGCTAACTTACAATCTTTGAAGAACACTTTGACATCATTTCATAAGCAAACTGCCCAATCAAATGGTATTGCCAGTGATAGCTTTCGAGTATCCCACATTATTGATAAAAATATGCAGCCTTTTACAGACAGTAACTATATCAAAAACTATCTAATTGCCGCAGTTGAAGAAATCTGTCCAGAAAAACTGAATCTCTTTACTCAAATTAGTCTGTCACGTCAAACTGTAGAAAGAAGAATAGAAAACATTTTGAGAGAGATTTGCGCATTGGTTAACACAATTACAACAAGTTTCATATATTTCTCACTGGCTTTGGATGAAATGTCAGATATAAATGATACTGCTTAACTTGCAATTTTTATTAGAGGTATCAATAGTCAAATCAATATTACTGAAGAACTGTTTGAACTTGTGAGTTTGAAAGGTACTAACACTGGAAGAGATACTAAGGATGCTGGTATAAACTGCACGCAAAGTCATCAGATAGATTTGAAAAATTTTATAGGCATTGCAACAGATGTTGCACCCCTTCAATAGTTAGCAAACATGTTGGTGTTGTTACATTAATTTTTGATCACATTAAAGCTTTGGGAAACAGTTCAAATGATTTTGAAATGTTAATTTGTCATTGTTTTTACACCTCAAGAATTCATGTGCACAAGTGTTGAATATGTCTCATGTGATGAAAGTTGTTGTCAAGATAATTAATTCAATTAAATACAATCATTGAAGCATCGTCAATTTCAAGAATATCTTAGGGAGCTGGAATCTGAATATGGCAATCTCATTTATTACACCAAAATCCAGTGGTTAAGTCGCAGAAACTGCTTATTGCGTTTTGGAAATTAGGGAAGAAATTGAAACTTTCATGAACAATAATGCTCATAATATAAGTGAACTTTTGGATGATCAATGGCTTCTAGATTTGTGTTTTCTAACAGATATAACAATGAAACTGAATGAGCTAAACCAGAAGTTACAAGGTGAAAATAAGTTGATTACCGACTGTTATCAAGATATAAAATTCTTTGTAGCAAAGCTTCAGCTTTATAATAATTAATTGCAGTCAAACAATATGATTCATTTCCCACTGTTAAATGACTATAACAGTGACCATAAAAACTTCTTGAAATATTCTACAGAAATCAGAAAATTACTTGAAGAATTCAACACCAGATTCTCCTACATACAAAAGTTTGAGGAAATGTTTACAGTATTTTTAGCTCCATTTAATGTAGATGTGGAATCAGCACCTCCAAATTTACAAATGGAGCTAATAGAATTACAATAATGCATCGAGCTAAAAAGCCTGCGTGAAGGGAATATGATTGAATATTGTAAAAAATATATCCTCAATGATAAATTTCCAAATTTAAAATGATTGGCATTGGAATCTGAAACTACTTACCTATCAGCATCTGGAACTACTTATCGCTGCGAGTCATTTTCTTCCAAATTAAACCTGGTAAAAACAAAGTATCGCAGCGGGTTGCTCGATGAAAACATGACCAATCAACTATGATGCGCACCGACTAAATTATTCATTAATATTAAAAAAATCTCAAGTAAAATACAAAAACAAGTGTCACATTAATTGTAAGGTAATAAAATATTTTGAATGTTGTACAATAATAAAATATTTTGAATGTTGTGTGATAATAAAATATTTTGAATAATTTGTTGTTTTATTTTGATATGTGTGGCCCACCTCAGTTTACTAAATTTTTACTTGGCCCACCAACTGATTTGGGTTAGGCACCCGTGCTCTAGATATATGTACCTATAATGATGTGCAGTCAACTCCTGCTTAACTGAGTTATGAATTAATCACATCTTGTCTGAAAAAAGTTAAGCTTGTTCATTGCTAAATGATACTAAAATTATTATAGCAAATCATCAGAGTAAAGCAAAATTTCTCTAAGAAATGCAAAAAGGAGAGTAATGTGTGAGAAAATAGCAATGATGATATCACAATATTTAGGAATTGTTTTCATTCACAACAGTATGTAATTTTGCTATGCAGTTATGTATACTTTGGAATACAAAAAAAAATTATTACATCAACCACTGAAAATAAATTACTAAATTATAAAAATACTTTATGCATAAACTATTAATCTTCTGTTCCACAACAACTCCTATCAAAATAAAAAAACTAAAATAAAGAAGAATAAAAGACTAAAATATGGTTTCTCTATTTCAAAGTGTGTTTTTATTTTGAATGCTAACTCAATTCATGCATTTTCCAAACATATTAAAAAATACAGTTAAACTGCTAATAGCATTTTTACTTAACCCCTTAACTGCCGTGGAAAATGTACAAGATTCATTTCCCAATGCCACGGTTTTTGATGTATTAAGGGGAAATTCGTTTTACTTTCTAAAAACTGTTTACTTTCACAAAATAAAGAATAATAAAAGAAAAAAATGAATGCACAAAACTTAATGTTTTTGCAAGGTGTTGGTTCATATACTCATCTACAAAACGGTTAGTTTTAGTAACAATATGAAGCCCAAGCAGTTCATCAAACAATAATTCAAAAAAGATATATGGGTTGAAACATCCGTTATATCTTTCTTTATTCTGGAACTTACTACAAAAAGTAAACAAAAACAAAGAACACAGAATTTTTTTACTCAAACTACACCAGCCAATACCGCGCAGTCATTACACTTTCACAGCAAACATCTCCCTCTCCAATTCCCCACTTTTTGAAATAGTATCCTCCTTCCCATACTTTCTTTGTCAAGGTCATTGTGGTGTTGCATTCCAAAGCTTTGCGAATAATTTACGGGTAGCAGCGCAAAGCAAATGATAGTATTTTGGAAGGGTATATATATATATATGCCCATGGCAGTTAAGGGGTTAATTATAATATGAACTATTCCTCTTTAGTGTGCTTTTTTGCTTTACCTGCTCCCAGATTAACTGTAATTTGGGATTAATTATGGACAATACACCTGGTATGTATTACCCTGGTTTATTGAGAGTTTAGCATATATTAAAAAAAACTATATATTAAAAGATAATGTTACAAGAATCATTTTAAATCCATTATTCAAAGATAATGTTAAAATGACCATTTTAAATACAATAAAATGAGAAAATTGGGTAGCTATAATGCATAAACAAAAATTAAGCAGTTAACAAAAAATCATCTAAAATGCAAGAATAAGAAAAGAGCCATTACTCAAAAAATCCTCTTTCAATTTTATTTATAAATGTTACTTTGCAAGATATTAAATAAAATATTCAAAAAGCACCATAGTAGAAAATTATAATTCAAAAAATATTTATTGCAGATATGTAATGCAATGTTACTGACATACACCAAGTAATAAAAAAAATGAAATTTTTTCGATGGAAAACGTATCAGTATATTTCAATTTCACAACTACAGGTGTTGCTTCAAATAAACAAGCAATATTGTGAATTTTGTATTCTTTAAAAAATACCTTAATTAGTTAATAAATTTTAAAAAGATGAATCTATTGCTTAAGACAACTTATTTGAGCTGGTTATGGTTCTTCAAAACAGGGCCTAATTTCTTAAAGTAGAAATGCCTAAGCCCTGTAGAACTCATTAGAAATAGTGAGGAAAACAAACTAATAAGTAATTAATAAAATAATACATATTGAGCAACTATAAACTTCATGACACAATTAATGAACTAAGTAAAAGTATTAATAAATTAAGTTAACTTTTTTTTTTCCATGGCAGATTGTGAACAATTACAAATGTACCTCAGTCCATTAATCTATACAAGGCCAGATGTGGTGGTCTCTTTATTACGGAGGCACCTAATAGGTGGGCCACTATCACCTTTCCTATGAAGGGACGGACAGTTACAACCATGCCTTCTCCAGGATTCGAACCTAGGCCCCCTTCGGCATCGCAGTCAGCTTCCCTGACCACTATACCGACTGGGCGGCAATTAAGTTAAATAAATTTAATAATAAATTTTCAGGTAATATCGCAAATCAGTAATATAGCAAAGTACCTGAGCTCATTTCATTTGAAGCTACAGCTGGAATTTACGATTTTAATCAAAAATTAAGACGTACCATAGCCAGGCTCCAAAGGCCTCCAGCTGAATTTCAGCCCTGTTTGAGACACTTCATTAAATTCTCATTTCATATTCCAGACTCATGTTATTTCATCTGTTGCTACAGTTAGAACACTGAGTAAAAGACTGGCTAAGATCCATCAAGCAATATAAACTAAATTCAATGGTGCAACAGCCCTAGTGGGCCATGGTCTGTAGTTCCTCGATATCTGCTTTCCTGACTATGGGCCATATGCATGAGCATATACCCTGAACAAGTGGTTAGCTTGTCACAGGACCCCTGGTATTTAGTCCCTAAGTGAACTTGGTACAAATGTTATCAACCCACTCAAGAGATGAAAGCCCGAGTCAACCCTGTCCAACCCAGGGATCGAACTGCCCCACTGGGCCTATCAAGCAGTATCTAACAGTTATAACCGATTTCAATTCTGCTAGCTACAATGCAAAAACAACTTTCCCATAATGTCAGCATCACTACTAAGCTTCTTATAATCAGACATATAAGTAACTTTTATTAACAGAAGCTTATACATAAGCAAGTATAAGACAATTAATGCACTTAAACGGAGTAAGAAAATTCTAAAGGATTCTTCTTGAAATAGTCCAAATCAGAGATTATATAACAAATACTTTTCAATATATAAATTCCTTATTTTGTATAGTTCTCATCCAAATATACCATTATCTGTTACCACTAAGCAAATTATTACCACTAAGAAAATGTTATAACATAAATTAAGGTGTAAAAAAATAAAACCTAGTTTTTCTGGAATGGTAAAAAGTCTAGTAAAATACCATTCTTTATTTTGCATATTCATATTCTTGCAAATAATAAAAAAAAGAACAAATATTTATGATATAATTCACTATATAACACAATAGTTCAGATTCAATTAAACACAGGTTTTTTTTTTTTTTTTTTTTTTTTTTTTCTTGCTACATAGTATTGAACCAGGAGAAAAAAATGATTTTTAATTGCCTAAAAAGTTTTGTGTCTACAAAAATACTGATTATTTATTTTAAAATTAATCTAAGCATCTGTCTTATAGATAACATGCTTATATTTTAATAAATAAATTATTAAACAACATAAATTACCTCAAACTCCAATATTTTCTGTTTCAAAAGTTAAACGAAAAACTAATTGAAAAATAAATTATTTATTTCAATAAAAGATATTAATCTGTGAGTTTGTACAATTTAATTTCGTGTTTAGAATTATCATGCAAATAAACAAGAAATTAAAATTACATTTGTAGAAAAACTGCATTACTTTTTGTATTTTTGGAGTAAATTCCATCGAATGTGTCTGAGCCCTTGGCTGACCTTCTGCAAGGAGGGCACTGACAACAACATTCTCTCTATTATGGTACCTTGAAAAAGGAAATTATGCAGTACTTTACAATTAAATACATGATATAAATATTACTTATTAACAGGCAGGTCTGGTTCCAAGCACAAGCAATATAGACTTAAGATGTTGATTTTTGGAATGCATCATTTGAAGTATTCTTAAGCCAAATTAAATAAGTAAATATTTTGTTTTGAACTACTAGCAATACACTTATTTATATGGGATGTCAACTATGTTGATCACTTAGACTGCTAAAAATGCTGGAAGTAGGCCTGCTAACAGGTTTTATGACACTAAATGAAAACATAATGTTAATTCTCATTTTATTAATATTAGCATCTAATAATGTATACAGCCTGAAACATATATTCAAATTACATTATTTTACTGTTTATGGGACAAATGATGAATGGAATACACAATTTAGTGAGATTTTAACAATTTTTAGGTGGTTATTCTGATATTCATTTTTGCGTTCAAAATATGTATGTCACTTAAGTTAAATGATTCAGCTTGAATGATTTAAATTGAATAATAACTGTTATTAAAGTTTTTGAGGGTGATATGCTAAATTTTTTAAGGTTCATTAAATGAGTTCATAGATGAGAAGTTTGTAGTTAACTAATATAACTTTTTGTACTACCATATACGCTCACATAATGTCCACATTTTTTTTTACTAAAATTACATCACTAAAATGCAGATGCAGACATTAGATGGTCATTCAAATGTCACATTTTTTCTCGTGAGTAATTTTGGGTGTAAATTTCATTTCAAACAGCCAAGTTAAGTTCTAAGTGGAAGAAAATGACATAAGTAATAAAAGATTCAAATTTAAAGTTGTCTAATAGCTACCTAAAATTTACAAACTCACTTTCTCCCATCCACATATACACTGGTTATCATAAATTAAGGAAAAATCACAAAAATAGTGATAACTCCCTCAAAAATAAGCCAAACCATGTAAAATTTGAATATGTTGCCAAGTAAGAGTAGATGAGTAAAACTGCAATATGCAAATTAGTGGCGCTACACTCGGAATATGTCATCTGCAAGGAGAATAAAAGTACATGTTTGAGAGCAAGCCCACATATTTCATTGAAGGCAATTTCAAACTGCAGATTTGTCATCTAGGAGGTTAAGCCAAGGACGGCCAACTGCTCTGACGAGCTCCGACGACCGATATTTGACATTATGTGCACGCAGGAATAGAACCGTTACTCCACTCTTCTTAGATCCTCCCTTGCTACAGCCACCGGAAGGTTCGTGTCAATGTCAACTGTGCGTAGAAGGCTTCGCGAAGGTGGTCTGTATGTGTGGCGACCAGCCATTTGTGTGCCGCTTACGTCACACCATAGGAGGGACCGTTTTCAGTGGGCACGACAACATGTCCACTGGACGCCTGATCAATGGAGGACGGGTTATCCTTATGGATGGAGTCCAAGTTTAGTCTAGAAAGCGATGGTAGGAGTTATTTGATATGGAGAGTGAACACATAGAATCCGTTATCATCAGCGTCAAACATCCGTGAAAGAGATGGCATATGGAAAGGGCAGTGTCTGCGTTTGAGGTGGACGCACAGACCTCCATGTCTTTCCAAGGGAGAACCGTTGAATGTGCTCATGGATTTATAGAGATGACATCCTTGATGCTTATGTGCGCCCATATGCCCGGGGCAATAGGTTGATGCTTTCCTGTTACAGGACGATAACACAAGACCACAGAGGGCTCGCGTCGTAGATGATTATCTTCAACAGGAAACAATTATGCTCATGGAGTGGCCAGCTCAATCCTTGGACTTGAATCCTATCGAGCACATTTGGGATGCTTTAGAGAGACATCTAGCTGATCCCAATTTGCCCCCTCAGACCCTTGCCGCGCTTGCAACTGCTTTGGAAGAGCAATGGCTCTCGCTTCCTATGGAACTGATAGACCGCATAATTGAAAGCATCACGCATCATCGCTGTATTGCTTCTAGAGGCGACCATATTCCATACTGAAGGTACTTTTTCTATAGCAAACTGACACCTTTAATTTGTTCATTGTATATACATGTGCTAATTTCTATACTGCCATAATTGTCTGGTAATTTATTTTTATGTTATTTGATACCTTACTGTATGTTGTATATTGTTTGTAAGTTTCATAAAATTCTACATGTAACTTTTTCAGTAATTTAAATTTTTGTGATTTTTCCTTAATTTATGATAACCAGTGTATAATATAAATTACCCCATTTGCGTTATCAACACTCAATGTGTATTAGTTCGCACAGGAACACAATATAGAGGCACAAATTAACCAATTTTAATATTTAACTTCTACACAAATTAAATAAATGCTGGTTCTTTTAATATCATGCACACATTATTTTTTTAAAAAACCTGTTCCGATGCACTGTATAAAAATCCCTTTCGTTTCATCATTCACTGCAACCAGCCTTCACTCGACTTGAATTGCAATGTAGGAATGTCTTCTTGTGCTGCAGCAAGTGCTCTTATTTGTCACATTTCCATGTTACTGCGTACCCTTGAGCATGCATATCATGAAACTTACGCAACTACTTTTTTTCAACGTTTGGAAACCTACATTTTGAACCATGAAACGCACGTCTTGTTTTGTCCAGTTGATCATGCTGTTTGCTCTAATTGTGTACACACTTTTTGTCCACTTTATATATTCTTGCTACTGCTCTTTTTCCATTTTCCTGTGCAAATTCTATGACTTTCAGTTAAAAAGCTGTCGTATAGTTGCTGTATTTCCCCTTTTCAAGTACGTTGCTTGCTAACTACCATGAATTCCAAATGATACTATGAATGAAAAGAGAAAGCTTGAAATATGCAAATGCTACAAGGAGGAAGGAGGGGGAAGTAATTTCATTACAAAACAGTAATTCCTGGAAGCCAGTGCAGTGAAAACTTGTTTAGACTGCCTTCATTTATTATTTTCATTTGCCGAATGGATTGCTGGCACAGATGTTATGAGACTGAAAAACAGCTGCACCAGAATGCAAAGATGGAAATTCCTGGTGCCAACCAAAGACAAAACAAATGCATATTCTTTCTTTCAAGATGTTTATTGACTAAAGGGAAAAAGCAATGTTAAAAAAAAAAAAAAAAAAAAAAAAAAAAAAAAAAAAAAAACATTTTAACGTAAGAAATTCTTTAGTTTTTGGGGTGTGGACATTGTGCAGGTCACTTTTTTTTTTACATAAATTTTATCTGTAAAGTTGGGCTAATTGCTAAAAATATGAATGTATTTAAAATGTTTTAAATCTGAATATTCTCTAAAAGACAAAATAATTTTAAACCTTTTTAATGCCATGAAAGGATTTTTGATAAGTATCATATGCAAGCAACCTTAACTTAAAAGAACTGAACTTACTGCTTAAGAAGTTGCCAAATATGTCCTTCTTCAACAGTTGGAAACTGAACACACAACTTCATAAGAATCCTTTCATCAACCTGCACAGTATTTTCCTGCTGTAAAAATAACATTGTTGATATAATACAGTTTGCTTTTTTTTTTATTTATCTTCTAGATATATCAGTGTTTTATATATTTACATTACAGCTTTAATATATTATATTCCAGAATACTCTGCCCAAAATACAGTTTGTATTTATAATTTGATGAAATCAACCTAAAGAACATTATAAATTGTGCTCATCAATATCTTTCATTAACTCTTTGATGTGCGCGATATTATTTTTATAATTTTTTTAACTAAAAACTCTAGAAATTGAATATTATGATCCTAGAGACAAATAATATATGAATTAAAAGAAATCTACTCTTGCCCATTGTTTTGTGGGTGGTGGTCGCACTGTGAAACCACCGCGCCTCTAGGACTTCGAAACTTACCTAGGTAGTAGGAAAAAAAAAAACTTACCTTTTTTCATGCGTATTTCCAAAAAATACGAAATTTACGAATAAAAAAAAAAATTCATGTAAGAATTGCGTAATATATATTTTTTTACATTATTTTACAAACTAAATCGTCAGAAAAAATTTAAAAATAAACATTTATGTAATTTTTCTATAGCCATGAAATATAAGTACCTACATAGTAAGGGCGTTCGGATAAATGGATAAAAAAACTCAGCAAAGTAAGGATTAAAAAAAACTTTTTTTTGTGACACTGTTCAAAGCATGTTTTGTCTTTTTGGTACGTGCATACATAGGCCCACACCGCACGTTTCGCACATGTATCTTCTTCTATGATGTTTCTTCCTTGTGCTACAAAATGCACACTGATTGGATCTAAATTTCACTGGTATATGTCAAGCGTTATTTAGTTTCTTTTCATCTGGCACATGAAATTTGTGGTTTTTTTATGTTAATGGGGGGGGGGCTTGGTCTTTTTGGCTTTGGTACGGATCATTCATTTCCCATTCATACTTACTTTATTCGTATTTCGTCTCAAAATATTCAGATAATATTTTTAATTTAAATAAAACTTTACATGATTTCTATTTTTAATTACAGCACAGTATATTTACATTAAATTTAAACCACAGGAAATAATTTATAAAATCACAATACCAGCTTGGGGAGCAAGTGTGTTGAGGTCAGAGAAAAAGTCTCTGGAAAAGAAAGACCTTTTTACTGGGCAGGTGTATGTATTGTTTAGTAATAAAATAACTCTATGATTTCAAAACCCTTTATCTATATCCGGGTAAAAATAAACATTCCTATTTGAGAAGCAAGAAAATGCCATTGTGAAGAGCAGTGGTTTCAAGCCGCAACCACCGAGCCTCTAGAGCATTGTGACACAATGCTCTAGTAGGGCAGTGGTTGCACCCTGAAACCACAAAGCAAATGCCATACATATAAAGGGTTTTTTTATATATATATGCAGTTTAATTATTGCTATTTTTTACTGTTTATGATAGAAATCATGATGTGCGATGAATAACTTTTGAAATTTAAAGTTGTTCATATTAATAAAAGGAAATTATTTTGTCTCATTGAAAACGAATTTTAAAAGGCATCCGATTTGAAGTACTAAGACCTAAAACATCTATGATTCTGTAGTGATTTTGTGTTATTTAGAGGTAAAAGATCAGTAATCAATTGATTTTCACTCAAAAATTTCGTAAGGAAGAGGAGAAAAAAATTCAAAAATTGGTTGTTTCAGGGCGCGATCACTGCACGTCAAAGGATTAATGGGAAGAAGAATCATCCCTGGCATAGAAAAGAAAATCAGAAAGTAAAGTTCTGTTCTTAGCCATGACAGTGCCTACCATAAGACTTACACATCTGTCAACTGTACCAGTTCTTTAATATCCAGTCTTCATACAAACAACCCTTAACATTACATTATATGCACTTATCTAAAATTAATAATAGCATTACGAGTTTGGTACATACATAAATAATTTTAGGGAGCATTTATGCGAAATTGTAACATTCTTTTGTATAATGTAACATGAAAAGCTAAAGAGGTGATGCTTTTGCTGGAAAAGTAAGAACACAGGGGCAAGTCTATTTAACATTCAGTAAATGGCCATCTCTCTAAACTGGCGAGATATCGCAAAGCTGGCAACAATTCTGGCATCTAATTTTGTTGCCAAATTTGGTGACATTTTGGTTCAGTCCCTTTATAACTGTAATAGGTAACTATTGAATAACTGTAACTGATGCTCTATGTAGCTGTAACTGTATCTAGTCCTTATGTGCCTTCCAGTAATTTTGAGAAGTACTACATACTTCTCAGTGGCCGGGTGAAAACTATATAAGACCAGAGAGAGCATCTGCTGTCAGTTGTTATAGCAAAGCTGAATTCAGCATACTGAGATATCCATCTTAGCATTGCTTTTTAGATGGGCTTTCCATTGTGTTGTGTTTAATGTTCTTAGTAGCTATGTGAAACTACCGACTGTATTCTGTGATACTATGAAGAGCTTCACGAGTACTTTTTTGTAAAGTTCCAGAACTGCAAAATGTTTCTTTTGAAAAAATTAATTTTATCAAGCTATCATCGGTTCTGGGTGCATTCAATGCATTATGAACCAGTATGCACATAACAATATTTAATATAAAACATTATCTTATATCTTCTTCTGTTATAAAATACATAATTTGAAAATAATTTGTTACTTGATAGTCATATTTAACCACTTATTACCTTATAGCCATATTTAATCACACTCCTTTCCACAAGTATTTTCCCCCACACAGATTTTTGAGCATATACTACAGAAAATTTTGATTTGCTTATATACTATACATCTTTCTCTAAATCCTAAATCCAGAAATAGACTCCTCCTTTCTCCAACCTTAGATCAACTGTTAAAATATATTGTTACAGGCTTTTAATAGTAATAAGTATCTAATGTTTAAGGAGTCTAACATGGGAGTTAATGTGAGCACATAAAAAACTAGCAACAAGTTGCAAAAAAAGGAGGTCAAGGAGAAATAGAATAACTATACAATACTGTCATTGAGATATGAAATATACAATACACTAATATTACTGCATCTGCTGATGTGCAATTTTTAATCTGAAAAGCACTTTATTTAACCCATTTTTATAGAAAAACCAAACAATGTATTCTCCCTCAGTTTTCATGTCACAGGATTAATAAAAGAAAGTGGGGATTAATGTAAGTAAATAAAATTAATAAATTAAAATTGATATTTTAATTAATTTTATATCCAATATGATGTAGAAAAGGGTAATAAAAGTTTCCTTTTGAAGAGTCATATGACAGGCTCATTTAACTGGATGTGATTTATTACTTTAATCACAATCTTCCACATTAATCATATAAAGTTTTGCAAAGCAAAATACTTTATATAAGAAATTTATTACTTATTTATATACAAGAAATTTATTAATTTACCTTAAATCGATATGGAGTTTTAGGACTTCCATAATGTGGTGTATAGCCTCCCTGGAAATTTACAAATATATAAAGTTAAATTCTTGCGTATAAATAAGCAACAACAGTCTAATATTTAAGAATTCGGAAATTGTTTCAACAATAAATAATTAAAAACCTCTCTACCGTTCATTATTATTTAAACTATTAGTCAACCAAGAATGTTTGTGTTATTTTAGTTAATACAGATTACACAAAAATAAGTTCAAACAATACTTTATTCAGAAACAAACACAATATCTATTACGAATATTCTAACAACTTTTCTATTTGGTTTCTTAATAAAAATTATTCTTTTTAACATATGCTTCTAATACCTTCTGATGTTTTGTTAATTCTAAAATAATTTTTTTTAAAATAGCTGTCTATTGTCAAGAAAAAATGTTAACTTGAATAATATTTATAGAATATGAGAGATGAGTAGAAGCTCTCAGCCAAGTTTCTATTATTTCTATGGCTGCTGTTGCTGCAAGTAGTCTGGCACTGTCTTCCTGGAAAGAACTTTCTTTCAATTCTCCAATACTAACTACTCTATAGTCAATGCAGTTTATCACAACTTTGTTGAATAACCCTCAAATGTTTTTCCAATGAACTAAAATTTAAGATGAATAATCCTGAAACAGCCTAGCAAATACAAAATACCTCTTATTAGCAGATACTGCTTTCCATCATACTACTTTCAATAATAACCAATGATGAGAACCCTTCATGTTTTCGTCCACTAATTTCATTACATATCAATAAGCAGTGTATAAATATCTCAAGTCTGTAACATGACAATAAGGAAGAGATAATGTTAAGCCAAGCACATTCTTGATGGTTGCACTCCATTTATGAACAACATAAAGAGATTCTAGTCTTCCACACCTTTTATATATTACTCATATTTTTACATGTAATATTTCTGAATACATAATGTTTTAAAAATGAATGAATCTTTTAAGTCAAAAGTCTTTAATCAGGACTCGTCGGGACGTCGGCAATTCCGGATTATAGATCATCAGTTTAAATCTGGTAAAATGGCATGCTGAAATTACAAAATTAAAAATATGAAATCATGTAATTTATGAAAGAATGAAGCATTTATGACCTAAAGGTTATCAAAATTTACAAAAAAAAAGCTTAATATTTATTTGTTTACTTTATTAAACATTTCTTTCAACGTGCGCATGCGTAAAGCAGACATTTACACATTGTCAAAATTAGAATTGCAACCAGAAAACTATTTGATGTGTATTCGTGATATTTAAAATGACGAGGAATTTGATTTAAATCATATCAAAGACGGAGTACAACGAGATGAAATACTATATTTAGTACGGAATTATAAGCCGAATAAAATAAAAACATCTGCCCTGAAGATGAGGATAGTGCTAACAGATCAACTTCCAGTTCCTTGCACGGCGGAACGTTTTCCCACCGCAGAGCAGCGTGAAATTGATAAGCAGGTTTCGGAATAGTTAGAGGAACAAAGGATATGCCTTTATCCATTTTTTGCAGCAATTCCACTTTTTGTTTGATGCAGATCGAAACACGCTTTCGCTTTGTAGATCCTTTGGCAGGATAGTGCTGGCAGATCAACTTCCAGTTCATTGCACGCCCCGACGTTCCCCCCCCCCCGGCAGAGCAGCATGAAACTGATAAACAGATTTCGGAATGGTTAGATAAACAAATCTCCTCTCTGTCGCTCTGTTCATGCCTTTATCTATTTTTTGCAGCAATTACACTTTTTGTTTGATGGACATCAAAACATGCTTTCGTTTTGTAGATCCTTCGGCAGCTCCAGAATCGGAAATTCTTTTTGACATAATCGAAAGTTCAAGCTTACTTTTATAGAATTGCTCTAACAGTCTGCAAAAAATAATAAGCTGCATCCAATTAGAAGATTAAGGAACAACGCAATCTGCAACATTATCTGAAATAGACAGTTTTAGCTTAGCTTATAACGTCTGTTATACATTAAAAGATCATGCGTAAACGTATTATGCGCATGCGTAAAGGTATTATGCGTTTACGCATGCGCAGAAAGTTTGTAGCTTTGAGGTCCAGATTATAGATCGTTCCAGATTATGGACGTCCGGATTAAAGACTTTTGACTGTAGTTCTGCATTTAAGTAATAGTAAACCATGCTCGTTCAACTGCAACATTATGTTATACATAAGAGTTATCGTGAAAGAACAAAATCATCACTCACAGACAGATATTTAATTTTAAAAATAGTAAAAGTATACTCTATTTCATGCTTATTCACTGAAAATTCACTGTTGAATTTTAGGGCTGAAAACATTACCTCCTTTAGCTATATATGTAGGTTGGTGGGAGGTAAAAATATTACCATATATATTGTTATAAGGACATAAATTTAATATGATATTCACAATGAACACAGAAAAACAATCAATGAATTTATACTGAGTTTTTGCTAAAATTTACCAAAAACAATTCCACTGTTTCAGGATACCAAATATATACCAAAAAATCATCACACAGCCTTTATTTTCACAACTGTTGACTTGTTCTAACTACAAAAACGTTTTAAATGATGCAAATATTCATGTTTTGACACTTTAAACTTTAAAAAAAATCAGTTTTGTTAAAAAAAATCCATGTAAAAATTATGAAATCTAACTTTTTATATGTTCCTCTATACTTATATTTAGGAAAATATTGCACTCATTACAAAAAATATAACACAAAACATTTCAATCCTGTATTGCAACCAAGATATTTAATTTTAAAATTTGCAATTTTTTATGTCTTATTTGATTTGCATTGAAGGGTCATTTAATAAATAAATAACTTTAGGCAGAATTTTTCTCCTTAAATACCATTCAATGATATTCTTTTGTAACTTACTAGTCTGTTTAATTTATAATTTTCTTATATATGATATATCAAAAGAATTTTCACATGAGTAATTAATACTTTTGAAGTTTAAAAATACATTATTAATGTTTTTATAAAGTTTTATTACTTTAGAATCATAAAAAAATAATTCAATTATTTTTTATTTTTAATTAATGCAAATAAATGAGTTGGCCAATACTGAAACCTGCCAGTGTCTCCTAGAACACCAGGTCTCTAAGATTCTATAAATAAGATGATCTTCATTAAAAAAATATATATACATATATTGACCAATATGTTTTGCAGTAATCTGAAACAGCTTTCTCTTAATGTCTTAACATCAGAAACCTTTTTTCTAAATGATATTTAATTTGTAGTTAAGTATAAGTGCAAACATTTTGCTCTTCAATTTGTGCACTGCCCCTGAATATGATCTCCAATTTTAATATCAGTAATAGTGGTCAAAATTTGCCATACAAGAGTTTTACGTTTTTATTTTTATAATAAATAAAACATTTTCCTAAATACAAGCATAGGGACCAGAAGAATGTATTGAAAGTTAAGATTTTAAATTTATAATAAAACGAATTTCTTTAAAAAATGCCCAAACATGATGTATCATTTAAAACATTTCTGTGACTGGAAGTATATGATGATGACCAATGATTGTGAAAATAAAGGCTGAATAAGAACTTTTGCAGACACAGCTAATATACACTATGTAATCAAAATTTGTCAGACTCTCTTGGAAAGATTCTCAAGAGATTTTGCTATAAAATATACATGTGAGTTCAAGCATATCTAAAGAGACGTAACCAAATGCAGATCTAAAGAGAGATAATTCTGTCACTGGTTTCACAAAATGCATGGTTAAATTCATATTGGTGTAACAAAATCAATTATCTGTTAAATGTTCAGTTAAAACTAAAAAATGTTAATAAAATTTCAAGATTAGTCATATATTTTATTAAAAAATGTAAAAAAATGTGTATAAAAGGGGAAAATGGGGAAGGAGGAAAAGATCATTAAAAAAAATATTATATATATAATATATAGGCTTGCCAGACGTCCCGGTTTTCAGACAAAATCCCAGTATCCCGTCCAGTTTACTTCTTGTCCTGGTAAAAATTAAATCTGATTTTATAGATGACCAAAAATGTCAATGACCAAAAATGATAATTACTTTGTCAGTTATCTCTGTACTGTATGAAAGGTGAAAACTATAGAAGAATGATATAATAATACTATACAATAAATAATACTGTCATCGTATTGTCTTGTCTCGCCAATCGTGACCATACGCGATGCGAGAGGCTTTCCGGACTCGGCGCTGGCCGCTTGCAATAGAGATCAGTCAGTCAGTTATCAGTCTCTTTCGGTGGAGTCTGTTGTGTTAGTGAGCTAGCGCTGTTTTGTTTATGGTTTAAGTTAAAATTTATCTGGTCTCTGTTAAAATGACAAAACAGTCTTGTAAATTCACCAGGGATTTACAGAATCAATTCCCTTTTATGAAGAAGGTATGTACTGGCAATCAAGATCCAGACGACAAAGTTAAATGTTCACATTGTAATTCTGAAATTTCTGTTGCTCACGGTTGTTGATCCAATATAAAAGATCATTTGCAATCGAGTAAACACAAAAAGATTTTAGCATGTGCTGCCAGCTCATCAAAACTGACCAGTGTTTTTTTTTAAGATTGCGAGTTCTAATGATAAAACTTAGCAGCAAAAGAGGCGACCTTTGCTTATCTCACAGCAAACCATAGCCTAAGCTTCAATTCGAATTCTTGTTCATCAAAGTTTATTTCTGAGTTTTTTTAACCTAAATTCTCACTCAGAAAAACTAAGTGTGAGGCAATAGTTTTAAATGCCATAGCTCCTTTAGCTCAAGAAGAGCTTGAAGAAGAATTGACCAAGGCAAACTATTTATCTGTAAGCATGGATGCATCAAACAGAAAGGACATAAAACTTGTGCCAATTGTTGTGCACTACTTTAATCCTAATTCAGGTGTGCAGGTAAAGCTGTTAGATTTCAAATCTGTGACAAGTCAAACATCTGAAATTCTTACATATTACTTATGCTCTGTCCTGCTGCAAAATGATTTGAATAACAAAGTAGTGGGTAGATAACTGCAACACTAACTTCGATGGTGTGAAAAGAGCAGGACAAAACAATGTTTTCTATCGACTCAAGAATATCCTTGGAAGGGAAATCAGTGGAATCGGATGTGGAGCACCCATTGTGCACAACTGTTTGCAAACTGCATTAGATAGTCTTCCAATCGATATTGAGGCCTACTGGTGATGATTTATAAATACTTCCACATATACACAGTTCGTGTAACTAAAAGAATTTTGTGAATATGCCAAGATACAGTACCGTAAACTCATTCAACACGGGAACACCCAGTTTCTGTCAGTGATGCCAGAGCTGGAAAGAATTTTACAGATTTTTGAAGGTCTGGAAGCATTTTTTTAGACCAACAAATGTGCCCATCAACAATAAAAAACTTGTTCACTGATTTAATGGCCGAGCTGTACTTGTGGTTTGTCCACGGACAGCTTGCACTCTTTAACAAGGCCATCCTGGTAATGGGAAAAGATAACACTACAGCTTTTGAGGTTGCTCTCTTAAAGCTCTCAAAAGAAACCTGACACAAAGAAAGGCTTCAAACTTTATCCCTATGGGCGCAAAGAACATCTACAGAAATCTAGACGAGCAAGTCCATAACAGTGTAAAAGAAGAATTTGATGGCTTTTATGAAAGATGCATTGCATACTTGGACCTCTTGGAGAATAGTTTTGGAAATGCTGAACAATTTTCTTGGGTCCATCTGACCAAAGCAAATGCTGTTAATTGGAAAAATGCCAAAACTTCTGCTGAAATGATTAACAGCAGGCTTCTTGATGTACCCGATGTGCAAAACACTGATCAGCTGTTTGACAAAGTTGTGCTTGCTAAGGAATATTTTCAGTCAAATTGGGAACAGTGGAATCAAGAAGAGTCTGCCAGAGATGTGATTATTTCAAATGAAGAAAAATGGTTCAGGCTGTTTGATCACTTCAAGGAGAATCACATAGCATTCCCCAATCTGATCAAGATTGTTGAGTCTTCTGCTTACCTGGAACAACAGCACAAATTGAAAGTGTATTTTCTTTGATGAACAACACATGGACTGATGGTAGGGGTTTGATGAAGGAATCTATGGTTAAAGGCCTGATGACATGTAAAATTAATATCGGATTAGATTGTGATGATTTTTACAAGATTAAAACCAAAAAAGGACTTTTTAATGAAAAGTACATGTAAATATTGTACAAATTTTTATTCCTCATTTAAAGTGTTTTTTCTTACTTAAGTAACTTATAAATATTAGCATGCAAGAAATAAATTGTTTAAATTTATATGCTTGTGTCATTTATTATTACCCATGGTTTAGGTTCCTATTAAGTAACCATTTATTCATAACAATGAGAATAAATGACCCTTTAAAACACTCCAAAAACCCTCCAAGGGTGTGAAGCCTTGAATACCCGCGACGGCGGGGGGCATTCCATTGTACCAGTTGAACATTTCTGAAATCTGGCAAGCCTATATATATAAGATATAATAGGATGATATGTGATTTTCCTTATTTAAAAAAGAACTGCATACAATGTATAAATCAAGAATTTTGTTGAAATTGCATTCACATGCAACATAAACACATATGAAAAACTTCAGATATCACCTGAGTGAATGGACGAGGAGTGTAATACCCACCACCAGAACCCTGAAAAATACAAAAATGGAATTAAAAATTAAATTAAAAAATTATTAAATTAAATTAAAAAATTTTAAACTCAGAATGAATCTAAATCTAATATAAAAATTATTCAAATAACTAAAAAGTATAACTGATAAAAAAGTAGGAGAACTAGGATAATAATTTAACATAAATAATTAAATAAAAAAAATTCAACAATAAAACACAAATTTCAAATGAAAAACAATTTATCATATTTATATCTGGGGGAGGGGGGTAGACTCCAAGTCTAATTACATTTATGCAGATTTTCCAGGAATAAGCTATGATCAGCAAATTCATTTTTCTTTTAACAACCAGGATAATGTAAATAAATAAAAACTAAGCTCAATAAAAATAAGCTAAAATGCAAAATATTTTCTTATAATACTTCAACTCCTCTCATATGCTAGAATAATTTCAACGTCATCCTGTTTACAGTAAAGGCATTAAAACTAACCTACTAAAATTTTGACATACGAAGCCAACAATTTCAATACTATTCCGTACCCTATGTTGCAGAAATTACTTACAACTAAAAAAATTTTATTACTTTCGCTTTGGTTTCCTATATAGAAAGACATGCAATACAACTCTGCAATTTGTTTTATGTTTCCGTCTTGGATTGCAGAATGCTTAAATCAAAAGTTAGTTTTAAAAATATCATTCTTATGCTAAAATTACTTACTGCTTTTTTTTAATTGATCAATTCAAATTTGTTAATCAACAAGATCTTTGCATTGCATCATTAATACCATTTTTTATTCAATTCTCCCTTTCACATTAGATCTATTTTAACATGTATCATGTCTGGAATCTATTTCTATCAAATTTAAACACAATAACTCTCACTAATAGTTTTTCTGAATGACTGGCTGAAAAAATCATTTCTGATGAATTTCCTTTCACTAGTGGTTGCAAGATCAAAGGCCTTGTTAGCTTCCCATTTTAATATATCCAACATTATTTTTTGCATCATGTTGCTCAGATAAAAAAATATTGTTCAATCTCACATACTGATTCCATGATCAATAACCAACAATATAATGAGATAATTACAGCCTCTAGGAGGAGATTTGACAATTGCTCAGCAGTTCAGATATTTTCAAATTTTCAAAATAAATTTTTCTCTTCTAGTCTTTGATTTTCAAACAGAAAGATAGTATAACCAAATGCTCCTAAATTTAGTTCAGGAATAATGCCCTACGATAAATGCAAAAGCTCTTTGAATTTCTGCTTACAGTAATATAAAGAAGTTATCATGATTCATTTATGCCCTCATAATTAATAACTAATAAAAAACTGCCACAATTACCTTATGGTTCCTATCTAAGTAATTTCAAACAAACTTATGGATTTTGATTTTATTCCCTGTGACTTTCTGAATAAAAATATAGGATTAATGCTTTTTTTTATTTGTTATGACTTTTTGAGTTTCAAAATTGACATTGAATTTATCATTGAAATACTTCATTCAATTAGAATTTATTTTAAAACTTAAATGCGATTTTATTAAGCTCAATAAGAAAAACCAATCTTAGCAATAAAACAAAAACCTACAAAAAATTAAATATTTTACATATTTTGTGTTCTTCTATCACTGAAAGGTGCATAAGTCAAATAATTTAACAAAATATATCAGTCTTACATTTGTGATTTGAATTTGGTTGACTGGTGGGGGTGATCCATCTGGGGGAGGAGGTGGAGGAGGAGGTGAAACAGTCACTGAGTAATGACTTGATCCATAATATGGAGGATAAGACTGGAATAAAATAATGAATTTACAAAACCAAATTAATAACACATAAATATCTTATTTTAATACTATGAGATTTTCTTTTGGATTCAAAACTTATTTTTTATCAATAATTATTTTTTGAAAAAACTCAGAATAACATCTTGAACAAATACCTATTTTATCAAATATATATATATATATAATATATTAATTATTTTTTGAAAAAAAACTCAGAATAACAGAATAATATTTTGTATACCAGAATTTTTTAAGTATCTGCAAAGCATTTGAAGATCTACACAGCCCTTCACAGCGCTTTTTCCAAGAGATACCATAAATGAAAAGGATCAATACAGTGTCAACCATGACCCCTTAATATTAAAATATTAAAGTACTCCTTAATATTTTAAATATTCCTTTTCTCTTTTCCTCACTCTTTTTACTAATTGAAAAGCAGTCTTGATAACTGAAAAGTCACATTTGTGTGGTCCATTTGATGCTACACGTCATATTAAAAAGGCACACACTGAAGCAAATTGATTTTGTACAAAAATTTAGCAAATATTATTTCTAACTTCAAAAATTTTCCCACAATACTACAAAATCTTAAGTAGTAATAACATTCTAAATCTAGGGAGGATCCAATCTGGGCACTCTATTTTGTCTTGCACATTAATAATTAAAAATCACATAAAATTAGGTACAACTGAATACAATTTAAATGCATTGCTCTATATTAAAGTAACATAAACTTACTTTACATTTATTGGTTTAAGAACTGTACATGTTCAATAGTAGCAATCACACTCCTTCTTAAAAACTATTTCATATTACCTTTGATTCAATCTTTCATATTTTTATAGTATTTCATACTTTTATAATTAAAATAAAGGTGTACATATTTTTATGGTATTTCATACTTTTATAATTAAAATACAATATGAGCCTTTTCCCCTTCATATTTGTAACAAAACTTCCTCCTTTTGTATTTTATTAATCAGCAGAAAGCAGAAAAAAGAAGGAAAAAAAATTAGCATTCAAATATCGTATTTAAAAAAATATTTTTTTTAAATGTACCATAACTGATGCTTTTAATGCATTATTATTTCTAAATAAAATAAATATTGAAATAATCATAAAATACCTTTCTCAAGAAATAAATAAAATAAATTTCTTACAAATGTTTAAATATATTTAAATAAATATTTCATGAGAGAAAGACTTCTGATTTGTATCAAATACTAGACAAAAGTAAAAGAGCACATTAGATGGGGTGGCAGATTAAAATAAAAAAAGAAAGTATATTTATTGTTGACTGCATATCAAGGAAAATTTAAAACAAATTTCATAAAAATACATAACAATTTTGGCAAGAAAAAACATCATATTTAAAAAAAAACCTAAGGATACTGGTAGTTATACTTTGTTTTCTGTAAAAAAACAAAAGGTTTGATCTAGAACAGCAATAAGCAATTTTATACGATTGCCCTATCAGAATTGCAAGTAATTTCCATATTTTAAGTACAATTTTTATGTTTTGCATTTTGACAAGCCATGTCAAAAGATCTTTTATTAAAATCAGAAGTTCTTGTAATAGACATTTTACTTCATGCCGTTAAAATACACATTCATTCACTTTCGCAGAGAGATCAAAAAAAAAAAAAGAAAAAAGAAAAAAAAAAAAAAAAAAAAAAAAAAAAAAAAAAAGAAAAAAGAAAAAAAGAAAAAAAAAAGAAAGAAAGAAAATTACTTCACATATCCAGACAAGAATCTATAGAACTATGAACAAACAGGGGAAGATAACACACATTTATGACTCATGGTCAAGAATTAAATGGAAGGAAAAGGCATGTCAAAAATCAAAATTTCAAGAATTCTTTCTATATTTTAGATGCATAAAAACATGCTATGGAAAGAGATGATGCAAGAAACTGAAATAAATAAAAGACATGCACACTGGGATAAATTATCACCTTGACTGGTCCAGATGATGGCCTTCCTGTTCCATACAGATAATACTTTGCATAAGATCCCTGAGAGAAATACACAAACATGGGAAGAATAACTTACAAATATAAATGTGTACTGGCATAACTTTTTTTTGTGTACTGGTATAACTTATAATAATCTTTGGCAAGTTGCAAAAATAATTTTGATATAGTAACAAAGGTATGAGATATGTAAAAAAAAATAATAAATTAAAGCAATAATACATCCATCTATTAGTTAATACACTCTAAACAAAGTGGGATATAATTATTGTTTAAAAAAGTATGCTCTTAGAATAAAGCTGAATTCAGAAAAGAAGCTGCTAAGTTGCACAGCTAGCTTTCTTTCCAAATTTTTCTAAATTGGAAATCAGAAAATGAAAACTAAACAAAAAAACTATCGAAAATATTACAAATTATAATATTCAGTGACATTTTCATAGCAAACACACACACACACAAACACAAAAAAAAAAAAAAAAAAAAAAAAAACGAAAAGAATTTAAAAATTGTGAATTTTGTAATACAACTGAAAAAGTCAGTACACAGTACTTCTAGTTCTAGCTTTATAGCTTTATTTTCAATCAAGAATTCCAGATTAATGGCTATGAAGGAGTCTGATGAAATGCCATTGAATTCACAATTTTGCAGTTAAAAATCCTTAGGATAAGTTTACATGACAGACAAAAGAATAAGCATTTGACTCCAAAATATAATAATGAAATAATAAAAATTCTAAAAGAAAGATGAATTGAAAAAGAATTTTTCTAATTCCACACATTTTAAAAAATTTTATGTTATTACTACTTAAAAGAATATTTGTGGAACTATAGGAAGTTGCTTCTGATTTTGACAATATTGCATTTTAATTCAGAACTACATATTACAAATATCAAAACATACCAAATAAACAAGTATTTTTAAACCAAATAACATTATATATATAATTTCCTGTAGTTTAACATTATATATAATGTCCTACAGTTTTAGCTGCACATGTAAGTTTTGAATATAAACTTGTTTTAAAATACAACAAAATACTTCATGTGTAGATATCAAGAATACAAATTAAACAGCACCAAACTTTAAAAACCCTAATAAAACAGAACGTGCTGTCTGCGTGGATCTTACTAGTTTTAAAGAATATGCATAGTATAAAATTTGGATATTTCGAGCAATTTTAGAAACTTCACAAGTTTCATCAACATTTCTGAAAGCCATTCAGCTCTTCTGAAATTTCTTGCAGGTTTTCTACAACAATTATTATTATGCAGAAAAAAATTTCCTGGACCATCAAATTTTTCACATCTTACTCCATTTGATTTTCCTTGCAGGACACACATAATAAATGCCAGCACTTTGCACTACATTACTCTTTAAAAACTTTAAAACAGTGTTTCTCTTTTGGGAAAATGTATTATGATGATCAAGTAAAGGTTTCTTCTCAGTGCAAAAGTCTGAGCATTTCTCACAAGTTGCTTTGTATGGTTATGTAAATGAGCAGACTTTATGCTGTGAAAGTGAATAATCTACAGAACTTGAAATATTTTTCTCCTGTACCCTCCACTACTCATAAAATGCTCCAGAGAAATACATATAGACTGTGACTTGACACTATGTACTAAAAGAGTACATGTGGTAATTCTCGATTTTTTTTAACAGACATATGGAAAGTGTAAAAATTTGTGCACAAATTTAACACATGATCCATAAACATTTGTGACACTTAACTGAAATATCAAGTTTTAAACAAAGTTTCGTGCCACTGCAAATATTGTCTGCACAAACAGTTTGCGTTGCCGTGTTTAGTCATATTTTGTCAAGTGATTTTTGGTATTTCAGAAAAAGAGACTTGCTTTAGAACACTGTCTTGTGAAATTTGTAAAAAAATATTTTCATTCTGATCTGGTAGTGTTATAAACTGAAAGGGAGCTATTACACTACCAAATTAGAAGAATCATTTAATTCCAGTTCTGTTGCCAAAAGTCAGCTACAGAATGTCACCAAATAATATGTAGAGCTTTAGGTACTAGTTTTGTATCATATGACACTGTGAAGGTTGGGTACCGAAAGTTCAAAAACAAGGACTATGACATTCAAAAAGC